TGCCACCGTGGTTACGGACAAAGTGGTCTTTGTTGTTGGTAATCTCCGTTTCGACCAGGCGCTTCCGCTCCGGCTCCCCGTTGTATGGGAATTGCAGTACATGGACCATGTCCTCGCTCTTCTCTTTCTTGACGTGTTCCCAAGAGTCGGCCGGCATATCCTTCAGCGTCTTGCCCATCGCGTAGTGGTAGTGTTTCCATCGCACACCTTCGAGGACAGGATTGGTATCCGGCAACGGCTTCAACTGGAATTCGGGAGGTACAGGGAAGTCATATTTCGCCAGAATTTCCGCCGCCTGCTTCTTCTTTTCTGGGTATCTCTCCCACTCGATGTATCCTTTCCACCCTTCTCGCTCTTCTGGGAAATTCGGCTCTTCGGCTGTCAAGAGCTCGAAAGGCTTCGCGTTGGGTTCAGCGGGCGCCATGGTCGGAGTGTGGAGTTGGGGAAGTTTGATCTAGCATGAGGCTCGGGATGCATCCCCCTACAAATGCGCGCGACTGTCGCATTGTGGAGTGGACGCGCCAGCCCATGTGCGTTATGTCATGACCTCAAGGTGACTGATACTTAATCATGGGCTATACTGATCTGCCATAACGTGTACTGCAGGCAACCCCTGTACATCGTGGTGCCAGCACGTGGTTTGTCTGGATCCACGAATGAAAATCCCGCAAGCTCCGCAAAAGCGTTAGGAAGAGATACACCACTGCGTCATCACGATGAACGTTGAAGAGCTGCCACACATCCTGGGACGGTACGATGCGCCTAGAACCAATAATCGTTAAGCCCGAAATCCGAGAATGGGCAGGGCAAATGCCGGAGAAAAGATGGCAACGGTGCGACCCGCATGCGATTGATGAGTAAGAATGCTAAAGTCTTGAGAATGCTTCTTATTAGTAGTCATTGCTTACAGACATGCTTGGCGTAGTACTCGTGAACCAGACCAGTTCTAGTCGGTGATGCGCAGCTGATTACATGCAGGTCGCACACAGAAAGTTCGAAGAGGCTCGCTCATGTGGCCGACGATTTTCGGGAGGCCAGCGCGAATTTTCATCCCAGGGGTCAGGCATACTGCAGACAAAACCGGAAAGCAGCGCGATGACTATCGTTGTTGCAGAGCAAGGGATGGCCAGAGTTGGCATGCACGCATGGAAATGCGCGGCAGTTGCTTCACAGGTTCTGCACGTGTCGCCTCGGCAAGTTGCATGGCGTGCTAACCCGAAATGGCTTGGCCCGCTTCTGCCCGCCGTCATCTCACCGCAGAACACCACGATCTCAGCATCTGTACATCCGTCAGTCTCCGCACGTCTGCATTCGATATGGCTAATCAATAAGGAAGCCGCAACAACACCTTTTGACATCTCAAGGTAGATTTTCAAGATATCACTCAGCTCTCGCAATGGCGGACGCGGAGCTAGTAGCGCAATGGAGTGCACCCCTATAGAACTGCTGCTGCCTCAGCTGTAGGCATTACGCCGCCTCATTCCAACCACGAAATAGGATTCCGAGCCGTCGAACTATGCCCATGCGTCTCACAACATCAGGCACGGCCAAGCACCTGCGTGCTAGAGGAGCGAATCATCTGCTAGTCGTTCTCACGCGCTCCACGTCCTTACTATCTGATCGAAGAAATCTCATCGAATAGTATCGCAGTTCATGTCCCTTCCGAGGAAGGATCAAACATCAAACGAATGCGATTCGATATGCCATCGGAAGATGAGGACTTTTCCCACGTGGCGGCGCCATCAAGGGCCGCCCTTGCAATCACGGCCCGCGTCCTTCGGTTCCAGAGTTCGATATCATTGACCGGCCGCCATGCGACCTCTAGGAAAGCGCGCGATACGGAGTAGCATCAATTACGTTCAGATTGGATGTCGAACGAACACCATAGCCGGGGCTATGGGCTCGTACTGCTGGAATGTGTTCAGTCCCAACTGTACGAGTAAAAGCTATGAAACACGGGATCAAGGGATCGCCCAATACAGTGAAGGAGCCGTATCAACTAAACTCTAGATGGAGATTCGTAACTCGCATCTGGCGAACGGAAGGACCATGTATGCATATCTCCGTGAGGACCTCTGGACGATCTGGCCAATCGCAATTTTTGATCTGGACTTCTACGCCGCAGATATGCAGATATCGTTCATACTGGGTAGTAGTTGGACGATGTCTGGCTTGGAGGAAGGCAAGCGCGGGTTGCGTGGCTGCCCAGAGAGTCCATGGGAAGCACACCATCATCAATGGGGGAAGCCCAGTTCACCCGGCAATAGACTGCTACGTCTCGGCTTGCTCAACACGTCTTAAATGGTCATATTAATCGGTCACCCTTAACCCTCGTCTTCGCCCCGCATCTTCGCCTCTCATTTTCACATTTTGTTGTCTATACCTTAAGAGCAACAATGGTCAACATGGTAGCCAATGCCCAGAGCGCGCTATTGCAGAAAGCTAGAGACTCTGCCTCTTTCGACACGTTCCAGCTTACATGCATACTCTGGGGAAGGTAAGTACAGTTTGTGATCCTATGTAAGATCCTCTCTAACCCAACTGCAGTGAGAAAATCGTCAAGGAACGACGGGCCGCCTTCAAGCGAGTCGAGAAAGCAATCGGCACCGACGACAATGCGAAGCTCCCTCGATGCTACGCGCAGACCTCACGCGAGGATCTATTCGAGCAAGGCCTTGAGATGGGGAAAGCGTGTCTCGATGACATGCTCAATCATGACCATGAACACTTCGTATGGATCACGCCGCGATACAACCTCATGAACGCCAGGTATGTTGAGGCAGTCAGGAGAATCTTTCAAGACGAACGGACTGACTCTCAACAGCCCCTTCGGCCACAAAGCCATCCTCTTCGAGCCCGGCATGGAGCACAACGGTACTGAGGAGCAAAAGGCAAAGTGGCTTCCGCTTGCTCGATCTGGTAAAATACTTGGTACATACGCGCAAACTGAGCTTGGTCATGGTTCATTCGTGCGAGGTATCGAAACGACCGCCACTTTTGACCCCGATCGCGATGAGTTCGTCGTTCACTCCCCAACAATCTCATCGACAAAGTTCTGGCCTGCGGGGCTAGGCTTCTCGACCACACACGGCACAGTCATGGCGAGACTCATTGTTGGCGATCAGGACCACGGCCCACATATCTTCCTTGTGCAACTCCGATCTGTCGAGGACGGCACACCAATGCCTGGTGTGAAGATGGGCGATGTTGGCTTGAAGCTTGGGTAAGTAAGGAGATTACGGAAGATGTCAGGAGTTCAGTCACTCACCAAGACCCAGCTACAACGAAGCTGACAACGGCTTCGCCTCCTTCGACAACGTGCGCATCTCTCGATCGCAGATGCTCATGGCTCACAGCCAGCTCACATCCGATGGCACATTCACCAAAGACCCCCTTCGCGCCAAGCTCTCGTACTCCGTCATGCTGCTCGTCCGCGGCAGGATGCCCAGTGTCTTTACGGTTCAGCTCGCCCAAGCTTTGACGATTGCGACACGATACTCTGTTGTACGACAACAAGGCCTCGGCCCTGCTGATGCGTTTGCCACTGAAGGCAGCATCTTGCACTACAAGCATCAGCACTTCCGTCTTTTGAGCTTGATCGCCAAGACTTACGCCATGTTCTTCGGCTCTCGCGTCTGCGACGAACAGTATAACATGCTTCGGGAGATGCAGAGCAAGAACGATCACTCGCTTCTGCCAGCTGTTCACGCATTGACTGCTGGGATGAAGGCGTACGTTACGTCCGAAGCCGCTGACGGTGCCGAAGACGCGCGTAAGTTATGCGGCGGTCACGGCTACATGTCCATCTCAGGCCTACCAGACATCGTCGGTGCCTTGGTCGGTGGAGCAACCTTCGAGGGCGAGAACTACGTTCTGTGGCAACAACTCGGACGACATCTCCTCAAGCAACTTGACCGCCTACAAGATGGCGAGCCGATCGAGCCCCACGTGCAATACCTGACCGATGTCGAAGACCCCAACCTTCCATGCTGCGCATCCGCAACACAATTCCTCGATCCCAAAGTACAACTCGCCATCTATCGCGACCGTGCACACCGCATGGTCGTGAAGGCGCATTCGGCAATTCGCGCATCGACCAAGTTGCCGGCGGATGCGTGGAACGAGCACATGATGCTGCTCATCTCCGCCTCGCGGGCCCATATCGAGTACTTCATCCTGAAGTCATTCACCGACTTCATCTCAAGCCTGTCTGACTCTACATGCAACTACCTACGCATCGTCTTGAACCGTATGCGCTCCCTCTATGCACTGTCCACTATCATAAACCCACGTACCGTCGACGCAGTTTCCTTCATCGAGACAGCTGACGAGCGTTCTCCTTACTTCACTTCGGGACAGCTCGACACTATCCGACATCTTGTCAACGGCTTGCTCGACCAGCTACTGCCTGAGGCTGTTGGCCTGACTGACGCTTGGGACTTTTCCGATGCTAGTCTCTGTAGTGCGCTGGGTATGTACGACGGCAATGTATACGGGAATATCATGCGTTGGGTTGAGCAGTTGCCTATCAATAAGAAGTCGTGGCAGAATGCTGGGGTACAGCAGGGGTGGAAGAAGTGGGTTGATCCGATCCTGAAAAGGGAGGCGAAGTTGTAGAACGACGGAGCCTGGATATGTAATTCACGTTGTCGCGATAGTATAATGTGATGAGGACAGTGGTGTTGGATGCTGTGAATTGGAATATTTTGTATTGCGACGCACGTACTGCTGAGCTTTGGGGTGCTCCTACATAGAGTCTGAGGATTGCGATCTCTCTCATTTGATGAGGAGTACCTTTTGCATGTGTGGTGGTTATGTATTTCGGGAGTCATGAGTGGCTCGTCTCGCTCTGCGTGTGCTCCTACATAGCACAATACGATAAATCCAACGGGTCTGATGATAATGTAGACTTGAAGACCATCCACTCGTATGAGATGCATTCCCATTACTCGTCAATCGAGGATACAAAGTAGAAGGGTACCTCGGTGCAACTGTCCACCTCAGTACCAGACCTTACGGAACTCTCCTTGCCAAAACCGCTCATTCAGCTCTTCAAGCTTGACCTCCACATCAAATATACCTCTCAATGTTACCGAGACTCTCTTGTCCTGTCTAATAAGTGCCTCCAAGGCAGGGAAAACCATGACAAACTTCTTCACAAAGCCCTCCACATCGTCCCCATTCACCCCCCTCGAGAACGGGTCTGTCGATTGGACTTGTATCACGACATGCCTGATCTCGTTGAAGTATAGCAATTCCCGGAGATTGGCGTCAAGTTGGATGACGTTGTCCTCAATGTAATCGCGATTGAAAGCGAGGCGAATGTGGAGGTGCTTGACGTGCTGGAGCACGTCGATGTCTAGGCCCCAACTGTCGATGCCGAGGAATTCAAAGCCTACGGAAGCATGCCTAGGGTTGCGATCGCGTCCAAAAGGGAAACCGAGGACCATGAAAGTCGATACCTCGTACCACATCTCGCCGATCTCTTTCATGGCGTCAAGCGGAACGTATTCCTCCATGAAGAGATGATCGCAATTGGTCTGCCGGAGGGACTGAAGCCACTCACGAGTGTATCCGGGGCGCCCGACGGTGTAGATTTCGCGCGGTAGTAAGTGGTCGTAAACCATGTCTCGTAGTTCCCGTGGTAGTTTGCTCTGAACCATTTTGGCCAGCGTCAGGCACTCTGGCTTTGAGTAGGTCGCTATGTACGTGCTGATTTCTTCGTTGAGCTTTTTTGCCGCTTGCTGGACCATAGACGCATTGTCATATCTGGCCTGAAAATTCTCCAGAGGGTGGGACGTTATTGTTTTGAAGAGTGAAGCGAAAACGTGTCGCATCAATTCCAGTTTTCGCAGATTTCTCAACAGCCGGTTAGCAAGTCATCTGGCAGTCGCGATAATGTTTATCTACCGATGAACAAAGTCCCTATCCATGTTCGAGCTTGACGGGCCGTGTCGCAAAGGTTCCAAAGCTGTCGCGATGTGGGGATTGCACGTAGGTGGGCAGAGTCTCCGTATGAGAGAGATCAGGTTAGCGTAACGCTAAGTTCTCTTCACTGTTCCTTCCATTCTACCAGGCAACAGCAGCGGCACGTGGTTGACCGAGGTCGCCGCACTGACTACCTTCCACAACAACCCAGCAACCCTGCATCGCATCAGCTAGACGTTTTGAAGTCACATCCCCGCTGTAACCAGCCTCGCACACGCACCCTCCTCATGCTCATGAAACCTGCATACTCGTTGTCTTTTGGCCTGGATGCTGTTAGAGAGTATTATTCTTGTATGCAACAAGTGTCGTTTTTCCTCTTCACATACCGCTGAATCATGCTGATGTATGCGGCAAACGAAAGTAGGATGTGAGCATAGAACAAGATGATGAAAGTGAATTGACCTTAAACGCCGTCTCCTAGCCCGTACGAGGGCAATGGGTATCTATGCAGGCCGTTGGTACACAGAGTAAAATACATTTGAAACCATGAATGCGCCGATTTCCCGTCAGTCCTTTTCCACTACAGCCACAATACGCCACGAATGTCAGCGCTCGAAGACTGGTAAGGAAACAGCTCCGCGACATTCTCTGGAGCATCTTTCCCATCGAGGCAATCTTCCACTACTCGCACAATGCCTTCAAAATCAGACAAGACGCGTTTCGCATATGGCTGACTAACGGCCAAGTCATGTAGCATGCCCTTAGCGCGGTGGAAGGCCTCGATGTGGGCCTCGGTGTGAGGATGCGTCCTTCCAGCAGAGTCGCGGACGAGAAGAGAGCAAAATACCAGAAGTGCATTCGACAGGGCCGACGTCATGCGATGCCGAAGGCTGAATGCCTGACGAACTTTCCGCGTAAAGAAGGTCATTCTGGTGAGGGTGTCGCAGGCAAGTTGGCTGAGGTGTTCAGCGTGATTGTCGTCGTATTGCAGGGAGATTATGACGGAACGTAGCCCCCAAAGAACGAAGTCTGTCTTCTTCTGTTTGATGAACATCGTCAGTGGTACATCCCCATCACCATCCCGCTGAGCGTATGATGGCATCCCCAGTACTGGTAAGTCGTGATCGAGGTAGTGGGAGATCTGCCGATCAATGATATCCTGGGTTGTGCTATCCAGACTGCGACCGTCGACAGCATTGCTGGCATAACGCGCCCAGAGTATGACATAGTGGATGTAGTGATCGATGAAAGGCCTGGGGTCATCATTATCCTCGGCTTTGTAGAGGTTTGCCTATAGAACGTGAGCGTGAGGTAGCAGGAGGAGGAGGACACGTTGATCTAGGAAGAAACTGAACACCCTGGAGGCGACATCGACGTCAAGACACCCACTTTGCATGTTCATCTTGATGTAGTCTCCAGACCTGTTCAGCGGGAGGAAGGATAGGAGTCGTGGACTTTACTTACCCTTTGTGAGAGGTCTACAGGTGCTTCGACTTGAATGTCGGTTTCGTGGATCCTGTATGGTCTTCCACACGTCAATGAGATAAATCGGTCTTGGACGAATATATTCCAGAAGGTGCAGATGCGCTCATATGCTTGAACCGTCGTGATGTTTGTCCACGTGGATTGCTGATGTAAGGAGGACTGGAAAGCGAGTGTTGCAGCGGCGCCGATGGTGTTGTAAGCTGGACCGGGCATGTCTGCGTATTGGTAGTAGAGGGCCTACAACTATCAGTCTATGCGCATCAAGTTCGGAGCTTTTAGGCACGTACCTGGAATAGAACGCACTGTATCAGCGTCAGATCGCCGCTTCCGCTTAGTAACGACCTCTTGTCGACGAGCTCGTCAGCCATTTCAAGCCAGCGCCAGCCCTTAGGCTTGCCAGTGTCGATGGGTGCGACATTGAGGAGTACGTCGCAGCATGCGAAGATGGTGTAATTCAGCGCGAGAAACTCGCTATCTTCTGATGGTATGGTCGTGCTTGCTAGCATGTGTTGGCTGCGGTTGCGGAACTCGGGTTCATCTATGCACGGATGAGACAGGTGAATGTCGGTGAAGAAGGAGGCTAGGTACTGTTGGTAATCGGCGGGACTAGGAAAGGGTAGCTTCCTGTTGCCGACTTGTACGAGGTGCGATGGGTCGCCGTTGACGGGGGAGCCGGCGCTTGGGACGACGGGTATTGCTGGGTCTGCCGACTCTTGTGAGAAGAGCGAGGGCTGTCCCATGAAGGCGAGAGCTGGGTTGATGGGATCCAGCGGCGGGACAGACAACGCAGCGTCACCTCTGAAGGCATCGCTGCCGTTCTCGTCACGCTCCACACTGCCCATTGGCGTCATGGTCAGGCCTCGGTCGCGCATGAGAGCCTCCATCATGGCCTCAATTCGGGCCATGCGCGCTTCCATGGTCATACCGCGTGTGCTGGCATCGCTCGCCCTCCGCTCGGTGCCGTTTTCCGACGGCATCAAGCTCCTTCGTGGTACGTTGTGGCTGTTGCCGTTGGCGCTGGTATTTGAGGCTTGCGTATGGAGGGCAGGCGTGGGTCGACTGAGGTTCTGCAGGGCTTCGGCGGCCGTCTGGTCTTCAGAGAAGAAGCATCGCTTGCCGTTGTCCATGCACCGTTGGCATGGGTTTTCTCCGGAACACTGTTGACGTCAGTTGTTGACTCTCATTGTTGTTGCTGGGATAGTTCATAGATGCGGAAGCGACGCTGTCGCATGAGGAAGTCGCGATGCAGTCGTGAGAGAAGTGGCCGAGGCAGCTAATGTACAAAAGAGCGTACATACCTTGAGCTTGGATCGCCTGCATGATACACCTGCACAATCTGTCAGCCGGCTGATGGCATAACCTCGTCGTCCTGTCGCGCGAGCTGCGTCGAACCACTACGGAACCATCGGAATGCCGCATAGGAAGCTCGAGATGCGCCGAACCAGAGCGAGTGTCGCGACTTACATGCTTTGGGCGCGTACTTTTGCCGGACCTTTTTGCGCTTGGGCGACGACGACCTCCTCTCGACGTCCATGTGCTCCATAGGTGAGGGATTGCTGTTCATGGCGCGATGGAGTTGTTGGAAGAAGGATGGCGCTCCAGCGAGCTACTTCGGAACGCGACCGGGATCCGGGCCTTTAGCGCGTCTCCAGCTTCCGTCCTCCAACAGCCAACGGCATCGCTTTCATTCCTCCATCCATCACAGACGTCGTCAACGAGATTTGTATCGAATCAACGAGTTTCAAGCTACACAAAGTGATACTGCTCAGCTGGAAGTTTCGCGGAAAGCCATTTCGAAGCGAAAGGCCCGGTATGGACACGCCCAGCTTCTGACATGTGATCGCACCATCCTGAGGCCTGTTCCTAATGCGCATGTCTACCTTCATGCTCACAAAACTACTCGACATCGGCCACAGTCCGATATCTTCCTATCGAATTCCTCGGCACCCAGATTACCTCGGCACCTTCAACACCAACTCGCGACCGTCAGCGTTAAGTTCACAGCAACCACAGCCGTGGCGCCGTTAAATCCACGGCTGCCGCTCGCAAGTGAGAAGTAATCTGAACATGAGTAACATTGACTATTATTGCTATAGAATCTGGAACGGCAGCGAGCTGAGACGTGCTCACGGCTCTGCGTCCTCGCAAATGACGGTGTCTTCATCTCCTGCCTCGCGCTCGTAGCCGTAATGGACGTATGAGTTGTCAACCTCTGGACCGCGGTAGGTCTCGAAAGATAAAGAACAATGCGATCAAGAAAGGGAGCTATCAAAGAAACAAGAAAGGCAAAACTTGCTCGCGCGCTGGAAATGCATGACTGGACACCTCCGGTATGCAGTCATGAGAAACAAGCAGACATGGATCATCGTAGCTTCGTAAGCCATAGTGTCGTGAAGTCGTGACTTCGTCGGAAAACCCTTTTTAGGTCCTTTCTTTCATCCTTCCGTACATCTCAAGACATTGAAAGAGATCAGAGTCAAGCTTCGAAATGGCGTCCATCAAAGAGACTCATCCATGCACCGCCCAAATCTTCAACGCCAGCCCACAAAGCTTCCTAAGCGCCTTCGTCTCCTTAACCTCCCTATACCTCTTCGCCAGCCCATCAATCTTCCTCACACACTCCTCAATCTGCGCGCGATAATACGACGCATCCATCGTACCCAGCACCTTATCCTCGCCATTCGCAGCATTAACAAGGCCCTTGATGCACTCGGTGACTGCGCGGCGGTGACTGGACTTGGGCTCGGCGTGCCGGAACATGTCTTCCATTTCTGCTTGGAAGACCATGTTGTCGGTGCTGATGTACTGGAGGACGGAGGTGCGGGCGGCGCTGTCGCCGGGCTCGATGGTTATGGATGGGATTTGGGGGTTGGTGGCTTTGGAGGCGGCGTTCGAGGCGGTTGCGGCGATGAGTTTGCAGATGCCGCTGCCGGGTGGCGCGGAGGTGGTGGCGTTGGCGATGGTGGATTGGGGGGCGTCGGGGTCGATGCCGGAGGTGGAGGCGCGGCCACGGAAGGACCATCCTCCTGCGGGAGGTGGGACTGCGCCAGGGAGGGAAGAGGCGGTCTGAGATGTAGTGTTCGCCATCGTGTTGGCGTTTGTAGAGCTGGAGCTCTGATAGAGGTCGCTGAACGGCAGCGGCTTGGGCGCAAGAGGGTCGACGAATACCGTCGGGTTGTTAAGACGTCGAAGGATCTCCTCAATACACTGGGCCATGCGCATAGTTTGTAAATCCAGGTTGTTGGACCTGCCCAGTAAGAAGTCGTAGAGTGCCTGTAGACGAGCCATGGGCCAGGCTTCCTTGAGCTTCTGGGCACCATCCGGATCCAGAGGGATATCAGCGTCAAACTCTTCAAGCACACGCTTGACGGGTTCAAAGACTTGATGGGTTAGGACTTGCACGACCCTGGCCACCTCCCACTGTTCTCCGGTTTGGAGAAGATGTTCCAGTCGGTCAATGCCTTCGAGCATGTGGCCGGTATGCCATGCTAGCACGTTGATGCGGCCCTTGTAGACGTCCTTGTAGTGACCAAGGAGGATCTGTGTTTTGAGTCGAGTGACCTCTTCTTCACGAGCCAGGCGAATCTGCTCGTCGTGCTGGCGCTGTACATCCACCTTGTGATCTTCGAACTGGTTGAGAAGGCTGATCGTGGCCATGCGCTGGTTGTGCTCGGCAATCACAGGTTCCATTGGGTTGTGACCGGAAGGAAGGATGGGCTCTTTCATCTTTTCCTCGCCGAGGACGTTGATCAGCTTCTCACGCACATACGCCCTGCGCTCCTCGGAGGTCTGGTTCTCGTAGAACTCGGCGGGATGTTGTAAGTTGCTGAAAGCTTTTGGCGGCGGGAGTGCTGGCTGCGACGTCCACCGGGGACGCTTGTCCTTGATACCGGTTGTGCGTTCCAATGAGGTTCGCTTGTAAGGAACATGACGCTTTTGTTGTTGACGTCGCTTGCGCTCCGCCAACTCCCTTCGCTCGTTCTCTCGAAGACGCATTTCGCGCTCGTAGAAATCTTCTGCGGACTTCCGCTTCATGGCCATATCGTACCATTTAGGGTCCAGTTCACGAGGATGGGGTTCTCGCTTAGGTTTCGCAATGCGGCCTGTGGCAACGGCGTGGTAGGACTGCTGCTTCTTCGGGGAGTCAGTCGGGTTGTGTTTAGTCTTAACAGCAGGTTTTCTGACCTTGACCCGCGGCAGGAGTTTTGTACGCGTGGAGCCGTCGCGGACGTTGTTGAGTCCTTCTGCAACGATATAGGGGGTTGCCCTTAGGAAAGGAAGCTATGTCCATGGTTAGTCGTAGTCTGGACGCCATCTGATGGGACATACAAACCTTGAATACGCGAACATGAGTTTCGAGCTTGAGGTATACCTCCTGGTACTGGATCTGCGCCTTTTCTCTAATGACGCCTACTAGGTAGCTTGCACCGTTCCGCATGGTCTCGCGGATAGAAACCATGGCGAAGAAGTCGGTGGGGGTAGATAAGATGAGTGAAGTGTAGGTGGAAGTGATTGGGAAAACGCTCTTAGACAATTGGGTGACTGCTAGGCTGTCTGGATCGTGGAGATTTCGATGAAGATGTGAAGTCAATGTACAGCAGAGGCAGTTCGAACCAGAGAGAGTTGATATTGAGAGGGAGGAACGCTGGTTAGAGAAGAGGGAGGCAGCTAGATCGGTGTACGCTAACGAAATCGCGCTTGACCGACGTGGGGTTCTTGGCGTCGTGAATAGCAGTGAATACTAGTGAATGGGGAAGATTATGACGGAATGATAGGCAGTCACGGCTATGAAACGCCAGTCACCACGGCGAAAAGAGTCATTTAAGTCAGGCAGGCGGAGAAAATAGGGAAGAAGAGGGTCAAGAAGGCTGGGAACGGGTCTTGTGATTCGCAATTGACGTTATTGCACGCGAGCTTTCACTGTGGCGGAACTGCCGCCTTGTGACAGCCCTACCGGCAAAGAAAAACAGGGCGGGCTACAATGCCTTGCCATCGTGAAGCCGGAGTGAGTAGGGGTGTTGATAGACAGTGTATGCTGAGATGGTGTTCAAGACAGTGTGGAGTGACATGGAGGTCGTCTCCCCAAGGGTATTCCACACTACACTCACTGAGGTGCAGTGGCATGTAGACCCCGAGGGGCGTCAGCCCAGGGTACCAGACAGTCTAGGATATTACCTAGGGAACGACAAAAGAACATGAGAACTGAGTTGAATGTGGAAATGCAGCCATAGGCCACAGACGAAGATGGGATGGTGAAGGAGAGGAAGGGAGGTGTGGACACTTGTGTAAAGAGTGAAAGTGGTGGTGAATCTTGCGTCGAGTCGCGGAGACGTGTAGGAAAAGATAGTGCTGACTTCTTCAATACTGTAGACGTCGAGGGCCGCACCTGCCGCTTGGAACCAGGTAGGGTTCGTCGCTGGCGTTCCACCCCATTTCTATACGGAAGGAACCATCGTACTCTCACTTTGATGCACCACCGTCTGGCAGCCCCAAAGAAGAGACAGATTTGATGTATCCCACAATACCGGAGAGGCGAAGGCAAAAGGAAGAGAGGTATGTCCAGAACCAGACGACGACCCCTTGCTCACCTGCCGCGCGTCTTCAAGTCCACGGATACGGAAGCAGCGGCACTCAAACTGTTCGAGACGCCCAGGGGTCTCTAAAACAACACACTGAGGTGAAGATGCAGCCATGAAGGATGCAGAAGAAGCCAGACCAATGCAGGTGGGGACCCCAAAATGAAAATAGTGCCCACGACTCAGGCACCAGAAGTCTCGACCGAATCCTACTCCATGGGCAGTCAGGCGTCCAGCGTTTGCATCGTATTGCGGTACGGATCGATCGCACGTCCAGTCCTTCGAACTCGGTGTTGCACGTCAAGTGTGGCGTTCACGGAAGAAAGCCAGTCCTCTGAGGCTGACGGCAACAACAGGATAGCGCTGCTTACATACCTAGGTACATCGCGACGCGCTTTGAATAGTAATCCACCCCAACACCCACAGAACCCCCGATAACAATCCCCCCTTTTGACGCCTCGATGACGGGACGCGCAAGCCCCAAGGATTTGGGCGAGATTTGTTCCTGCAGACAGGCGGCTTGATGTGGCTTCTGTGGCACAGGGCGGCTTGGCCGGATGCCGAAATCCGAGTTGGCGCGTGGGGTCTTGCCGCAAGTGGCTAGCCGACGGGGCGGAATCGACGTTTTCTGTCGAAACGCAGCCTTTCTGTCGAATAGCATTGATGGCCCCAAGGCAAACATGCCAAAGCAGGCTCTCGCCCATGCATGCCATCTGTGGGGGCCGTGCCCTCACATCATGGGCGCCGATCGCCTGGGACTTCTTGATCCTCGTAGTATCAGGTTTCTCAGGGCTGCCCCAGGTGCCCGCTTGGTGTCGTGTATATCTCCCGCTTGCCCTGCCTTTGTCGAAGCTGCTTCCGGGGTTTTCTCACTTCTTACTACTAATCACGCGTTCTTGGGGACAGGACGCTCAGTTTACTCTTTCTTTTCGCGGCTACCTACATTAGTCACTCGTTATACCGAACTTTGTAATTACGCTAATATGAGGGTCTCGCAACTTCCCCTCCTCGCCATCACTGTCGGCGCCAGCCTCGTGCTCGCTCAAGAGCGCTGCGACGCGCCTTCGCCTGGCATATACTGCAACTCGACAGAAATTCTCGCCTACCATGCAGACGACTGCAAACCTTTCCACGTTTTTGTCGCACGAGGCTCCGACGAACCCTACCCTGGCCGCCTGGGTAACCTTACCTCGAAGATCTGCGCGGCGATTGGAGGATCATCAGAATGTGGTTACGAGGATGTCGAGTATCCTGCAAAGAGCTCAGCATGGGGAGCAACCGCGTGGTGTGAATCAGCAAGCAAGGGGGCAAAGAGCGGACAGGAACAGATGAAGGCGTACAGCGAAAAGTGCCCAGACAGCAAATTGATCGTATTGGGTTTCTCGCAGGGAGCATCAGTCGCACAGGACATGCTCGGTGGAGGAGGAGGTCCAGTCTTTGCATGTGAGCAAGACATGAACCCAGCTCTGGACGCTTCCATTGGTTCCAATGGTACGTACGCATGTGTGAAGAAGTCACGCTCTACACCGATTTACTAACTATCCGCTCCAGTCGTCGCAGCAGTAACATTTGGCGCTGTCGTCCGTTCCCGTGACCAAAACTTCACCGTCGGCCGCGGCGTAGACTACGACGGAACCAGTGCACGCAGCCCCGAACACCTCAAAGGACTAAACGCCTACGCCGACGTCCTCCTCGACTACTGCCACTACGGCGACCCAATCTGCGCCGTTGGCTCTTCTCCTCCGGACACAAACGAGCACCTGAACTATTTCTTCATGCACAACGAAGAGGTCATCAAGTGGGTATCCGGCATGGCCAAATCAGGTGGTGATGTGAGTGCGAAACCCAGCAAGCCCGTAATCAGCCAGTCTTCCTCTTCGACAAGTGTGCCCGCGAAGCCCGCTGCCACAGCATCTGGATCCGCTACCCCTTCACCTGTTGCGACGACAACTGACGATGCGACGAAGGTTGCAGCGGCTAGCGCTACGGGTGCTGCCAGCTCGCTGACTGCTACCCTTGGCTATATGTCGGGGTTGGCTTTGAGTGTGGCTTTCTTTTTGTAGATCGTTTGCGTGATCTTCTAGCATCATACCCTACATTTCATTCCGAGAGCTTGTGTCACAAGCATCGTTGTTCAGATATTTAACAGACGAGCTGAGGAGTTGAGGAAGCATACAACAAGCATATACACACGGCGTACATGGTGTTCATTAAGTCTTGGAGGGAATTTGAACATTACTCTTTCATTACTACGAAGCCATTATCATGATGACATGCAAGATATACTGGCGTTCCCAAGTCTTTTGCCAGTAAATGCGACAACCATCAACAGAACATGACGCCGCCAATGCAATGCATGCGAAACGATATCGAAAACAACAGCGAATCTACAAAAGACCAATAGTCCTCTGCTTCATGGTCCTGACATCGACATTCTGCCAGAAGCCAACACTGAAGAGAGTGATGCAGTAGACGCAGACAGCCGAGATAAGCATGTATCTCTGCGTCTGACCGTAGCTCAGGTTGATGGCATCGCGAGTGGGGCTGCCGACAGGGTAGCTGTCCTGAACATTGAAGTCGCCGTAGATAGCAGCGAAGTTGTCCATGGCGCTCTCAGGCAGATTAGCCATGAGACGAGCAGGGAAGACACCAGTCCAGATAGCGCCTGCAACTGTAGACCCAATAGCGCTTCCAATCGAGATGATCATAGACTCGACGGCCAAGAGGGCAGGGAAGTCTTGCTGTTTAGACACAGCCATGAGGGTAGTCTGCTCCGAGATAACCAAAATACCACCACCGAAGGCGATGAAGATCATGCACATGACAATATAACCAATGTTCTCGTCAGGCTGGCGGAACTTGATCATGAGACCAACACCAAGCATGGTCAGCGGCACACCCAAGAACAAAGAGTAGATCTTGAGCTTTCCGTAGTACCGCAGCACAAGTCCGTAAACGATGGAGCAGAAGCAGCTGCCCATGGTGTAGATGTTGGCGATCCAAGTAGCATGTACAGGGCTCTGGTCGAACAAGACGACAAGAAGCGAGTAGAAGTACGAGTCCCAGCAGTACCAACCGATGTACAAAGAACCGGCCATGGTGTAGGTGAAGATGACAGTCCGGTTCTTGAGCAAAGGCCATGGGATGAAGGTGACGGGTGCGCCGTACTTCTCCCACAGACCGAATGCGACGACGAGGAGGGCGCCGAATACGAGGAAGCAGATGATTAGGGGGGACGCCCATTGCTTGGCTTGGTAGGAGTAGATGTTGAAGGCGAGGAGGAAGAGGGACAGTCCGGCGGCGAGCAGCAGGAGGCCAACGGCATCGAATTCGCGGAGGTAGTACTTGAGCGTTTGAGCAAAGTTACCGCGGCTGGGGCGGGGCGTGATAAGACCCTCTTTCTTTGCCTTGCCCTCGTAGATGATGAACAGAAGCATGAGAGGTGAGGTGACAATAGGCGCAATGATCGCAAAGATGCCGAAAGTCCATCGCCAGCCGATGCCGCCAGGGGCTGTGATGCTGTTGATGCCGTATCCGTAGATCCAGGTAGTGATGAGCCATGGAGAGGACGCATATCCGATGAACAGGGCTCGGTTCCTCAACTTGGAAGTATCGGCGATGAAGACCGTGATGAAGAAGTCGATACTGTTGGAACCGACGTAGAAGAAGGTTTGCGCCGCGCAGTAGGCCTTGACGTTGTTGCAGCTCGCCATCAGGATGAGACCGAGGACGTAGATGGCTACACCGAGGCCGAGACCGAAAGGTCGGCCCCAGATGTTGAGGATCTTGGCATATGGGAGCTTCCAGATACCGCCGACGATGGAGGAGATGACGCTGGTCAGGGCGGTCAAGGAGTGCAGCTGAAAGTCACTGGTGACGTAGGGCGCGAGGGTGCTTGAGGTGCTGGATGCGTAGGCAGTGAAGAACTGGATGAACCACATGCTGATGTCGTTAGTGTAGTTCTGGAGCAGTGTGAAGGGAGTGACTTACGCAATGTACGCGAGGATCAGGTCTCGCTTCTTCCACAGGAGCGAGGCAGCTTGCACATGCTGAACACCTGCCTCCGCGGTGGTGTCGACTTTGTTCAGTTCCTCATCCGATTCTCGACTCCTGGCCGACTCCCTCGGGCTACCGACCTTCTCGTCAGGGCGAGCAGCATCCATGCTGGTGTGGCCCTGGTAAGAAGCAGGCACGTCGGCAATGTCTTTCTCGTTGGCATCGGCATTCTTGGTGTTGCCAGAGACCAATGCACTGGTAGTCAATCCCTTGAAAGTGAAACCCATCTTGGCGATAGGTGTAGAAGCACACCAACAGAGAGGCTGTGATGAAGACGAGATGAAGAGATTGATAAGACAAGGTACCGCGCGCGCCTCAGGTTCATATACCGAAAACACTGATCCACGCAGTTCCACCGCAGGACCTTTCCGAGACGCGCCCGGTTACCGGCTCCTCGTCGCTGGGTGGGGAATTCCGTTCACGTTCACCATGAACAGGGAAATAGTCGTGAATATCACGCGCTCGCTCCCTGTTAGCATGATGCACCGAAGCTTGACTTTGCTGAATGCAGTTGGTCCCCCGGAATTAAGCCTTCTCAAGCACGGCCCAGACAGCCTCCAAAATCTTATCTCGATAATCAGCCGGCATCTCGGGCCAATAGGAGCGAGCGGTGGCGTGACGCGTGGGTTATCAGATGAAAATTTTCGATCTAATCATTATCTGATCAAAACCCGCAAGCCACGACGCCTGCCTGTACCACTCCACTGCTTGCCCTCTGCTCCGTCATGCCTTCGTAAAGCGGGGATACCGAGGGAGATGATGCTAACTAGTCTGCGACTACGGACCTGCCGATGGTGCTCCCAATACTCGATAGCCGCCGGGCATGCGGTGGAGCTTGCTCGGGGTTTCTGCAGAATTTGCTTCATTGCTCGTACCGTGGTGGCGGCCTTATAGATAGGAAAGAAGAGAAGTGGGCAAAAGGAGCGGGAGGAAAGGTACAATCGGGTCAACTGGAATTCGAGAAGCTTTTGCTTGCAGGCATACCGTTCCTACCATCGTCGGTGTCCAATCGCATCCCATCGTCGTTGCTGCTATGAACGGAATCAAGGGTCTGGCAGGTTGGCGTGAGTGGGGTTGACGGTTGGGGTGCTCGTGCGAAAAGACGTGCTAACGGCGGCTAATCCTTCATCCTCGGGTCCCAACAGCAGGAAAGGCTTACCTGAGTGCAGATCCACCCATCCACCAGCCTGGAAACCGAACGTGATGCTTTCCGTGTGATGCCGGGAAGCAGGAGGAGGAGGGGAACGGCGTGGTCAGTTGTGCGCAGGCACGACTGCGAGTTCGATGCGCACGAGTCATGTCAGCAGCCGACAATCGGACATGCGCGCGTCGCGTACCTGTCAGCTGCGATCGGTTGCGTACATGTCTACGTCGACCTGCACACAACACAGCATGCTCTCTGTATGCTCAAGGTAGATCGGTCGTCACTTCACCTACGTTACGCAGCTCCATCATGTGATTGCGACGACATTTGCATCACGCTGTACGTACCGGGCACGATGTATGGCGCCGTGAGTACCAGAACGTACACCTTCGGACCACCACTGATGTTCAACGTCATATCGCATGCGGTGGAGGCTTTTGAGCACATGATCATGATACTCAAATAGAGCTGTAGAGGTGGCGAAACACCATTGAGTGCACAAAATAACCTTGGGTATACTCAATATTTGTTTCCTTGCGTTGCATGGTCGGGTAATGTTTGTTTCCTTGCGTTCTTCGACCTTCTGATAACTCCCTTCTAGCAAGCTGATTCCTTAGGTCTTAGGTACCGCTCCAACCCGACCCCTCCTCTCCCATCATATGCTCTGCTCATTGCTTCATCCATCTTCTTCACCCACTTTCGGTGTGTCGGCATCCCGGTGGCCTAACGAATGAGATAATTCTCCAAGCTCATCTGGTGCTTTCGCCTTTCCTCAAGTGACTGCTTGGTCGCTGAGATAAAGACCTTGCGGAAATAGGGACAAGTCTTGAGTAAGTTCGACCATGCTTCTCCAGCCACGTGGTCGACAACGTCATCATCACCCCAATTACGAACGATGACGTCCTGTATCAACCTCTGTAGCGGCGACGTGCCGTGCAAAGTTCCCTCGTTTTCGACTTCGTAGGTGTGGAGGATCAAGTTGGCCATCAGTGGATGTAAGAACGGACTTGAGAGGGCTTCGAAGAGGCGCTCCATAGCGTAGTTCTGAAAACCCTTCGCTCTCAGGCTAGCGCCGAGCTCCCAGCACAGAATCGCTGCTTTAACGGCCCAGTCCATTACACCATCAGGTGGAATAATCCAGCTCACGTCCTCTGAATTAGGAAGCGGTGATGCTAGAGATTTTCGAGATGCCAGAGACTCCACCAGTTCTTCCTTCTCTTGATATTTTCGGGTATACAGCCACTGAACGAACAAGTCGAATATTGCCGGGTCATGCTCACTTCCTAAAAGATAGCAGTCCTCGTAGATGTCCTCTTCCAACTGGTCGGCCTGGCATTCGCTCTCGACCAGCATCATGTGAACCGACCATTTTCGGCCAGTTGCTCGATGATGAATGCTACCAATCGTACCGTTCTGTATACTGAAGGTGGTTTCGATTCAGTGATAGCTTGTCGATAGAGTTACATTAGCAGCATACCTTCTCAAAACAGCCTCTCCATGAGCGCAATGCTCAATTCCACCAGGACTTGCGAATCCAGTTGCCATGTTGTTGCTGTGTCTGGTGATGTTGGTAGTGGTTAAAAGTTTGGTGAAGCAGGAAGGCGTGAGTAGGAAGCAGAAACTGCGTCTTGATATACCAGCGTCCGCTGAGTAAGGTGAGAGAACGGCACGCTCTCACGCCCTTACGCAGTGAGAGAGTACTCACCGTCAAACACAACATCGCCCTCACACACGCTATTTGATACTCGATGGGAAGATGTAATCGAGGGTGGAGAGAGACTTAGTTGCATGGCGGTGACCCGATGAGTTCGAGTAGACGTATTTTGCTGTGTTGGAGAAGCCCAGCGTACAGGCTGCGAACAATTCTTCGCATGTGGACATAACAGCGTAAAGTTCGCAAGCTCCATCGAAGCACTCAGGACGATGCGCAATACAGATATCTCACAACGGCCACACTTTGTGAGAATATCCTTCATGTGAGATTATAAAAGAACGGCATCGGAAGGGACTACCCACTGCAGCAGCACGGTCATTACCTAGGCATCGTCGGCCCAGATTCTCGGCCCAAACTCGACGCCTGGTCATAATCTGCGCAAACCATGTCCAAGGGAAATGTCGGTTAGTCGTAGAGTACCGGCTTGTCACTCGCCGCATGGCTTTCGCTTTCTTGACACTACGCCCGAACCAAGCCCTCAATCGATACTTGGCCCATAGCCACAACTTGCGCAAAAGAACGCTCTTGAATACTCTATCCACACTATTGCGGGGTGTGGGTAAGGTTGGGCCGCTTAACCCCACCCTTTCTTAGCTGTAACCTGGTCTCAGCGGCCCAGATACACAAGGTGCTCAACGAAAAAGACCACCGGGCGAGACTTGCAGAGGTAGTTTATTGCGGTATCAATAGTAGGGCCGAGAAGGCCTTGTGTTTGATGGCCACCATGGCTGTCATCCGGAAATGCGGGCGCTTCATCCCACGGAATTACACACGTGGATCATCCATACGGGGAGTCTCCGATTGGTCAAATTTGCTGTATGGGGTTGCCCTGCAGCTGATGTACTGGCAGGTGCGTTCTCTCCATTTCCGCGGAAAGAGCGATGTATGTGCCCTAGCAAACTCCGATGAGCTGTTGGGACATGTAGCATGGAGTTTAGAAATCGAAGGAACTGTTCACGCTCTTGAGAGGTTGAGATAAGATTGAGGTTTAGAAGAAAGAAGAATTCATTCGCAATATCGCAGTCATAGGGTATCTAATCGTCAAAGTTCGCCGCAACCAGCTTGCCTACACTATCTACGCACAGCAACCTGTCGGCCCTGCCGCTTCGATAGAAGAGCGTCTTGTGTCCTTCTCATCGACCTGACCATATGGTATCCTGACCACCATCCAGTCGCATAGGAACTTGCCCAGCACAGCACCCAGTATGATAGAGATGAAGATGTATCCGTTGAAGTGCATGACTAGCAACATGATGATGTACGCAAGACCGAGAGTCAAGCCGTGGATTGAAGCGCGAACAAGTTGTTGAAGGGCTGTGGCGCGAAAGGTAGCGTGTTGGAGACCGAGAGTCGAGGTGGGGCCGTCGCAGCAGTTGGTGGGTGTCGCAGCAGCAAGGGCAGCCCGTTGTGCGTTGAGTTGGCGCTGGAATTGGCGGAGGAGTAAGGCATCATATTCGTGGCTGACCCTTCGCAGAAATTCGAGGCAGACAACTAGGAGAGCTGCGCCGATGCAGCTTGCGGCCATCATGCCGTTGTTGGTCACGTGCCATGATTCGGAGAGGAAGCAGGCGTCTTCGACACGCCAATTCCACAGCATCTAGAGATTGTCAGTCATGATATCATTTCCGTAAGAAGTGGACTGCAAACCTCCGTGACGCAAGTGCTGTTGGGCTCCATGCCCGCCATTCCTGTCATTCCGTGCATGATGGCGATGGTGTTCTTAGGATGAGGAGTTTGATTGGACAGTTATTGCGAACCGTGGGAGAGAACTGTCAAAATGATATAGCAGACGTCGAACCAGACGATGCCACTGCAGATACTCCGCCATGATATGTAGAAACTCGTTGCCGTCTCACGACAGTCTGGCCCGAGCAAGCAAGCCGGCAATCGCGCCGCGAATTATGGGGGAACTTGCTCAAACACACTCGCACTAGCCACTTTGATCGCCCCAAGAGAGCGGGAACCGCCCAAAGACCCGCCCAAGCGTCGCCGCCCACTTCTCGAAGCCTTGGCCCGTGTTTTTACGAAACGTGCTCACCACGTTTCCGGTGTGCAATGCTCCGCCGGCGATAGGTCATATAGATATGCGGCGCACTCCACCTCGAGACATGCAGCACGCATCGCATCTTCAACTCTTGCCTTGACCATGGCCGCTGACATGCTCGTCGCCCGTGCGCACATCCAGAACTACTCCGAGGCGAGCGCTGTCGAGCCGCATTGGGGCTACGCCGATCGCCTCGTACCCTGCACCAGCGACCCCGGCTCCTGCGAGTACCTCGACGTTGTCTATCGCAGTCATGACCTTGGCATGTACTACAGCGGCATCATTTGGGCCACGATTGGCGCCATCCTGCTGGTGTGGGCTGTTGGCCGACACTTTGCACGCTCGCAACCGTCCGGCGTGCAACTACCAAAAGAAGTAGGAGAAGGAGTACCGCAGAGACGCAGCGCATTCGAAAGACTCCAACGGGCGATTCCATCATACGCACGACGATATCTTCTTCCTGATGCTGCGCGACCAATCTTCGGACGGGTGACCCGCACCCAGGTCTTGACCCTTGTCGTCTTGACGGCTTACCTGACCGTCTTCTCCTTCATCGGCATCGTCTACAAGAAATGGGTAACTCCCGTTAAGAAGCTCCCCGGCGTCTACAACACCCGCACCAGTCTCGGACCATGGTCTGACCGTATCGGTGTTATCGCATACGCCCTCACACCTCTCTCCGTTATGCTCTCGACACGCGAGTCCATCTTGTCGCTCGTCACTGGCCTGCCATACCAGAGCTTCAACTTCCTCCATCGCTGGTTGGGATACATCATCTTCGCCCAGTCCGCTCTTCACACCATCGGCTGGTGCGTCATCGAGATCCGTCTCTATCAGCCCCAGCCAACCGTCGCCGCGGAATGGATCGTGCAAGAGTACATGATCTGGGGAGTAGTCGCCATGCTTCTCCTGACTCTTCTTGTTCTGCTCTCGACTCCCTGGGGTATCCGTCTCACCGGCTACGAATTCTTCCGCAAGGCCCACTACGTCCTCGCAATGGTGTACATTGGAGCCTGCTGGGGACACTGGGCGCAGCTCAAGGTCTTCCTCCTCCCCGGACTTCTGGTCTGGTTCATCGACCGCGCTATCCGACTTGCTAGATCAGCCCTGCTTCACTACAACTTCCTGCCCTCTGGACACATGGGCTTCCGTGCCGCTTCTGCAAACATTGCGCTTTTCAAGGACGATGTCAATGGCGATGTCGTGCGTCTGGATTTCGACCACTCTCAAGATGCCTGGGCAGTTGGCCAACACTTCTACCTCACATTTCCGGATAGCTCCATCTGGCAGTCACACCCATTTACACCCATCAGCCGCCCGGTCTACGGTGCTGACTCCCAGCGCCACTCCTACATCTTCCGCGCAAGGGGCGGAGAGACGAAGAAGATTGCCGACCTGTCCATGAAGCGCATTGCGAACATGTCAAGCCACCAAGAATCGCACGAAAGCTTGATGGCCGATGCCCGCCTCTCTGTAGTCATGACCGGACCCTACGGCGAGCGTACCATGCGTGGTCTTGCTGTGAACTCCAACATCCTCTGCATTGCTGGCGGTACTGGTATCGCTTACGTCCTTCCCGTACTTCTCGACCTCGCTTCAAGCCCACAGTCGCCTGACCGCCACATGACGCTCATCTGGAGCATACGCCGAAGAAGCGACATCGACTGGGTTGGTCCCGAACTCGCTACCCTCAAGCGCAAGTGCCGGAATCTACGAACCGGTATTCACATCTACGTCACCCGCGCCGCCGAAGAAGCCAACCTCGATCTCACAGTCTCAGAAAAGGCCGCGCCCAACGAGTGCTCCAAGGAGATCAACTCCGCCTCTGACTCTTCATCTGCCGACGCATCCTCTGCGCTGTCAGTTCATGGTGTCGCAAAGTCGGAGTTGGGTCTCAACCACATCCAAGCCAGGCCTGACCTAGATACCCTAGTGTCAGAGTTTGTTGCTGGTACTGTACGAGGAGGCACCGAGGTGTTCGCTTCGGGACCCGGTGGTATGATTAGCGATCTTAGGCGGATAGTCGCCAAGAACAACAAGGGTGGTGAGGTGTGGAAGGGAGACGACAGGTGGGATGTACGGTTGACGTGTGATGATCGATTAGAGTGGTAGTTTGCTTGACCTAGATACCCCAATTGCATTGCTTTCATGTTCAATATGTCTTCTTTTCGCGTGATGTTATGACCTCTCTTGTGCAATTTTAGCTACGCCCTGACAAATTGCATGATGCGTAATATCAGTTGGAGAGTCGGGCGGAAACTGATGGATTTCGGCGTTCCTGCTACCTGCTGACTAAAAAGGTGCGCTAGCGCCCGTTGTGACGTTTGCAGGTGTCCAACCTGTCGCTCGAGACAGTGGCGTCTTCTTTCGTTACACAGACATGCTCATGTTACACAAGAATCTCAGCAAGCACCAAGTAACGCGCAATCCTCAGAGACCGAGGGATTGATTATTAGAGTGGCGCCAGCCCGCTGCGAACTACACGGTGATAGGCCTTATCTCCGGACCCCACATCGTCACCACTTGGACCCTTGATCTGTCTCCGCTTTCCACCTTCGCTACCAACTGCTTTGAGCATTCTTACTCCGCGAGAGC